ACTTTGTATTTAAGGCTCAATTTGGAAATAATATAAATACAAATATATAAAGTGAAAAATCTTACATTTTGTATTATTTTGTATTTATTTGTATTGTACATATTTGTATTTGTACTCTTTTCAAACTAAGCTTAAGGCTTTAGTTCTAGTTCTTATGTTTTATTTTTTTTCTTCCTATTCCTTCGATCCTTAATTTCTCTTTTCTCTTCCGACAGAACTTGAATTAGAAATTACCCCAACGAATTCAATCAGATTTCAGATCAATTTCAAATGAAAGTATTTCATTGTTCAACAAATTCGGATTCATGTGCATCTTATCTGAATCCAATCCGATTACAGGCCTAAAGGTGACTACCTCCACACCTGCTGCATAAGCTCCCAAGGTCTCCCTACAACCTCTTTTACCTCTTTTGTTAGAATTAGACCCTTTGCCATGAGTCATATCAATGAGATATGATATGAGGTGAGGTGAGATAAAATGAGGTGTGTTAAAGTGTCTGTAGAGTGTATTGAAACAAATGAAGGACTCACCTATAGGAAAGGAGTTTCACCTTAGAATGTGCATATTCACTTGATAGGTAATGAGTTTGGTAGGTAATGGGTTTGCATTGAATGCATTGGCATTGATGTTCTAATCAGTCTGCCCATGTGTAGTTTTCATATGGATATCAACATAATTCTTCAATTGACCAGATGTACGTCATGAGCTGGTGTTAAGTTATCCTGGTCACGCCAGGTTGACTCAACTAGGTCAATTGGACTTAGGTCAGCTCGGTTATGCCAAATTGACCAAGCCAATCAGGTTTAGGTGAGCTTGTAGAGGTACGCTTTAGCTAAGTTAGCTACTCTTATGTAGAGGTGTAAATCGGGCCGGGCTGCCCGCAGCCTGGCACGACCAGACACTATTTTGGACCGGCCTAGCACAAAAGCCCACGGACCGTCCTAGGCCTAGCACGAAGGGCCGTGCCGTGCTAGGTCAGGGGTTCGAGGCCCATGGGCTGACACGGCACGGCATGACAA